GAGGTGTAGCTCGTCTTTTAGCAACCACATTCCCTAGGAAAATGATGGCTGGTATCTTAAGTCACACCTTCTCTTAAAGTAGTAATAAGTGTGGCTTGGTTCACACCCTCTACAAAGGGCAGCACTGAGCCCCACCTTACTGTAACAGAACTCCCACCAGAATAGAGTCCCAAACCATAATATAGCCCATAAGGAATTGTGGCCAGAAGGGCCAGATTAATTGGCTGCATCTCATCAGGAGACAGAACTGTAACATGGGAGATGGCTGGTATGAGATGCAGGAAGACAGGAGGAGGAAGTGGTAGCAATTGAGAGTGGCAAGAAGCAGGCGAGTAGCCGGAGACAGCTGTGGTGGACTTCCTGGGGACCCACAGAGCTAGAGAACTAAGGGCCTTTGGGTAGGAAGCTTGCTAGTAGAGTGGGGTATCTCTGGGCACTTGTCTGCAGGACTAAAGAGCTGTACCACTTGCCCTGAGAAAGGGTCTGCTAGTCATGGAGAGCAAGCGAGTCCAGCGGAGAGAAGGCCAACCTAGCAGAGAAGCATACCTGTGTGCAGGCATGGCTAGAGGGAGCCGAGACTGTCCCACTTGGAGGCTGTCCTGATTGACAAACTGCATCTTGTCTCCAAAAAGCTTTCAGTTCCTTCCAAGTTGGTGCTGACTTTAAATTGTAGCCTGTTCCTTCCAATGAATTACCAGATCATGCCTCACTCACTCGCTCTCTCACTGTCACTGAGTTGATCCCAACTCGGTGAGAACAGATAGACAGTAGAACTTCCCCGAGGGCTTCTGAGACTGTTCTTTGACACAGTGGCTGCGCCCGTGGGCCGAAGCATAGGGACAATTGTGAGCATGGCACAGGACCCAACAGTTTCCTTCGGTGGTGCATGGGGTCCCTATGGATCGGAACTAACAGCAACTCTTTATGGGACTCGAAGGCCTTAATTCTCTCCTTCGGAGCAGCTGGTGGATTCCAATTGCTGCCTTGTGGTCAGCAGTATCCCACTATGCCCCCAGTTCTGAGTTCTGTGTAGCCGTGGCAACACGGGATGGGCCCAGCAGAGAAGGGTATGGTGGGAGGGACAGCAGTGTCAGACTTGAGCCGGCACTATGCTGATCCTGATGGTCTTGATTCTTATCTCTGCCTTTGAAGGGAGAGGCCTTCTGATGCTGGTACTGTGCAGAGCATGGGGTCAGAATCGCACACGGTTCAATCGCTTTACCCTTAAATTCTTTGCACTCGCCCGCGGAGCAGTCACCATCTCTCAGCAAGTCCTACAGAGCCTGTCTGTTCCTTCCTCATCATCAGAACAGACTGCAAACTTCCGGTCTGGGCCTGACTGGTGTGTGGGACTGAGACTCGTCAAGGGAGATACAGCCTTACCTCATGCTCAGGCTGGGCCTCAGGCTCCGCTCAACGTTCGTTCTTTTCACAGACACTTAATGGATGGTGGTGACCCACTGGGCTGTGAACCACAAGGGCAGCAGTTCAAGCCCAACAGCAGCTCCAAGGGAGAAAGATACGCCTTTCTCTTCCGTAAAGAGTAAGTCTGTAAAGGAAGCCCACCGGGGCAGTTCTACCCTGTCCTATGGGGTCACTATGAGTCAGCCTCGACCCGATGGCAGTGAGTTTGGTTTTTATTGCTCACTAACTGGGTACCAGGCGTGCAGGGTAGAAGTGAGAGAGCAGGCCAAGAATCCCTGTCCTCCTGGAATTGGTATACAGCAGTACTTCCAGGGAAACCATCTGCCCGAGATGGGAGCACAGCCAGGGGCAGGTGAGGACGTCCTGGAAGAGGTCATGACATTTAAA